AGAAAAACATTTCCTAAGGTAAATGTCAGGTCTGTATAAAGGAAATTAATAACTTTAATAACTCTCAACTATTAAAACATGAATTGGCAAGATTTGAATTTGGTTTGAGTCAGGGTTTCACTACGTAGCTCCAGTTGGCATTGAGCACATATGTAGCTGGAACTCCCTAATGCTCTCGCTTCATAAGACCAAGATGTGCAGGTGTGTTCCACCATTACCAGCTCAACTAAATTTGGGGTGGGGGGAGCACGGATTAAGGATGGGACCCAAGGTTTTGTACATAGTAGAGAAGGATTCTACCACTGAACTATATCACCAGCCTTTGAACTGATAAGTTTGGCTACAATGGTAACCATAGATTATGAAATTTCTTTATCTCCATATATCTATGCATAGCTGCACATGCATGTACACATGAGTGCCCACGCTCAAATTCTCTTTCCTTTTGGTTTGGCAATAGTCATGGCGTTCATTTAGAAAAAACAAGAGCGTCATTAAAAAGGTCCACACCTGAGAGTTGTATCCTCGTACTATAAAAGGTATGGAACAAGCTGAAACAGCAAAACCAAGAAGCAAACACATGCTTGACTTTTGCCAATGATGCTCTTATGTCTTTATGTCATTGCTATTGAAATGTCCACACCAGGCAACCTCGATTTCTCAAGCTCCTTGCACATCTCATAGATCCTATCAGAAGCCAAGGCTTGCCAAGAATGTATGACAACCGTCAAAGGAAAACGTGGCACACCCTGATACTGAGATTTTAAAGTGTTGAATTACTTATTCCCGAGAGCTGTCAATCAGTGAGTGAGCAGGCTTGAATGAGCCACGCTGTCCCCAAATGGCAGAAGATGTAGACAGCCCTTCGGTGTTTTCCAAGCAGCTAGAAATTTGGCTTCCACCGAGATAATGACTACAACCAAAATTTGATTCCCAGAGTCCATAGATGAATGAATCAAACGCTGCTTCAGGGCGATATAGACACTGAGATTCCTCCCACCTCTCCCTGACATGCCAGGAGCCCCAGTCTCGACAGCTAGCAACTGGGAAAAGTATATTGGTGCTTATCAGAGATTAGCTGCCATTGATCCCAAAGCGTACTATAAATGCTTGCGTGACTAGGTTCACCTCTCTACAGCTTATATGCACTTAATTTCCCCCAAATAACTAGACATTACATTGCTTTATATATTTGTTTTTTATTGTTTAATTATTTATTCTGCTATAGGATCCCACATATTGCAGGATGGCCTGGAACTCCCTATATATAGCTAAGACTGATCATGAATTTTTAATCTTACTACCTCCATCTCGTGGGTGAGACCATACCAATTCTGTGTAGTGTCGGGGACCTAACCCAGGGCTTTAAATGTGCTAAGATGCACACTCAGCAAACTGAGATACGTCCCCAGCTCCTGCCATACCCGTTGAAAGTATGGAAATGTTTCCACCTTGATGGAACATGACAGTGCCTGGCAAAATACCATGAAATCTCTATCATCTGCTGAACAACCCGACCTAGCAACAGTTTTAAAGAGTCAGTAAGGACAAAAACATTTTCTTTTCGTTTTGAACTTAGCTTACGTTATCTCAACAATGTAGACATAACCGATGGGTTTGGGTTCCCACTCCAAAATTGTCTTGAAATTAGTTGACTTCCAAGTTAAATTAAACGCCTTCTGTAGAGTACCTACAAAGAGCACAAGAGAACTACAATTACATGCACTTCTGTGTTCATGAAACACCTACCCAGCCTCCGCCATCAAAAGGAGCACATTTTAAATGTCAATTACAAAACGTCACTAACTTATGAAGAACAGTGTGTGTGTGTGTCCAGTTTTTTTTCTAGACCCATATCGTGCTTCCACAGTCCGTGGAAGTAGCTAAAGACCCTGAAATCCTTGTTTAAACTATTTAAGGGAAAGCCCACTTTATAGCGTCGTGGAAAGAGGACCCAAGGTCTATTCATGTGCCAGAGACCCTTCTGAGGCAGGATCAAAGTAGACGCAAAGATGGGTTTGAGTAAGTTCGAAAGAGGGCACGTTCTGCACACCTAAGATGATTCAGGAATGTATATAAACGAAAAAAGCCAAACTTCACAATGTAATCTAAAGTAGCTCTACACTGAAACTCCCACGGAGAGCAAGGTAGGTAGGCGACCCACGCGGCATCTGTCACGTGGTAGGATGTCATTTCATTAAAAATACTGTTATTAACGTCTCTTTTTGCAAGTCCTCGGGATTCATTCAGTCTCTGCCTCGCCCCAAACATTGGGTTGATGTGGGGTATGAACTCTGTCTTGCCTGAATTTATAACAGGATTGCTTCTATCAGACCTAAACTAAAGGCCGCAGGAATAGCTGTTGACTACGGGAAGGCTCACACCTTGTCAAAGATTAAAAGGCAAGCCACGGAAAGCACGCAGACTTGGACAGAGACGGGACCCACGCACCCGCTACCTTCAAGGGCTCTATTTCCTAGGCAGCTCTTTCCTTAAAGTCAAAGCAGTAACCACAGAGCATTGTGCAACCGTGGTTAACGCACAGAGCAGGCATCTCCAGCGGCGGCAAAAGCCGGGGTCGGGCATCAACTACCTCCCCGTCCTGTGTTCATTCAAACCCTCAGGACAAGCGCAGCCGAGTCCACAGGTGCGGCGGGACACGTAAGGGTCCTCCAAGGAACCACAGCAACCCCACCCACCCACTTAGCCAGGTACGCCCCTGTCTCCCGTGTGCTCTGGGCTCCTCATGATCCGTGCCACTCACCTGCAACCGGGGCCACCTGGACGAGGAGGCAACCGAGAAAGGTGGGCGCAAGCGCCGCTAGGAGGCGCGGGAGCGCGGGGATCGCCATGTCCAAAAGCTGGTGGCGGGAGGTCGTGAGACTTCGGTGGCGGCGCGGAGGTTGCGCTGCGGAGGCGATCGGGGGGAGTGGGTGATGGGTACCGGCTCTACCCAGGCTGCCGGGGTCCGCGCGGGGCGCGTTTTAAAGGGCAGCGCGGCCACCGGCGCCTCTCCACCCCGCGCCGCCTCCGCCGCCGAGGCCGGCGACTCCCCGCCCCCCAGCCCCGGTCAGTCGTCTTGGCGGTGGGCGGCTCCCGGTCAATCCACACCCCTGCCCCGCCTCCTCCCATAGGAAACTCCGAGACCCCGAAAGGGGTGACTCACCCGTGATTCAACAGCGCCGTCGAGCACCCAGCTGCCCCTTCGGCGCAGGCGGTTCCAGGTGCTGCGGAGACCCAGGCTGCCGCGCCGATCCCTGGATGAACAGCCTTGGTGGCCTGCGAGGGGGAAAGGAGTCGTGTTGGAGGGACCTGAGTTGAAAGTTAAGGGAGCCTTACTTTCCCTTTGCTTTTCACGTAGGCTGTGCCCTTAGCAGAAGATGTATCAGGCTCACCGGACCATCCCCAGCAGACAAGCGCAGTTTCAAGACTCTGCCCGAGCACCCCGTGATTAGCAGAACATTCAGTCAGTCCCTTGGTACGTTATGCAGGGCAATGCAGTAAATGCACGTGTCTGCCATGGACAAGTGCCCTGGATTAGGTCTAAAGGCCACTTGGCATCTCCCCCACCCTCACCCCGTCTGAGTTCCGGTTCCCAAGTTCAGAGAGGGACTGAGGAGCTTGAAGCCTGGGAGAATCTGAGCTTGACGTCTGTAGTTAGGGGATTCCAGGAAGGATGGTTCTCACGTTGAGGAAAACAACTGTGGGTTTAGGGCAAATTCCTCCAAAATGCAGAGAAACAAAAAATGAAACTGAAAAATAAACAACATTCGGGCTTCCAGTTGTCTGTTTTCCTCTCTAGATGCTGGGAATGGACCCAGGAGGCCGCCCGTGCCAAGCACACCTCTGTCACTGAGCCTAGTCGCAGCCAGGTGTCGCTTTGGTTTCTCCACTTGTTTCCCACCTTCCTTTTCTAGGTTTTGCTGTGAAGCTGTTCGGGTCTGAGGACGTCACTGATCCTATTGGTCGCATTTGGCCAAAGTCCTGTCAGGAGATTTCTTGTCATTCCTTGTTGACTATTCAACTTATTCCTTCCTTTACAGCAGTGGTTCTCAACCTTCCCGACGCTGCGACCCTTTAATACACTTCCTCAGGTTGGGCTGACCCCAATCATAAAATTATTTTCATAAATGCGGTTTGCCACTGTTATGAACTGTAATGTAAATATCTGCGTTTTCACAGGCGACCCCTGTGAAAGGGTCTTTCAATCCCCACAGGGGTTGCGAACCACAGGTTGAGAAACACTGCTTCCTACAATTTCCCCCACTTCCTTCAGTAAAGTCAAGGGTAGGTCCACCTTGTAGGCGCTGAGAAGTGTAAAATGGTACTAAACAGTGACTTTGATTAGGCTTCCCGATTATGTCTGAGAACAGACAGGGCAGAACCTCCTCGACATCCTTTTACAATACCAACCCTGAGGCCAGCAGCTCGTTTGGACTCACTGACCTATCGGCACAACGTAGGGTAGCGTAGGGCTATCTGGTCCCTTACGCCAGGGGCTTTCCCTCTTGCCTTCTACTCCTGTTCGAGCAAAGGAAGATTGCATCAAGAAAACGGTTCAGAATGATTAATTTTTCCATTCACAGACACTCAAAAGCGTTCTGCCGTGGCGTGGAAAACACTTGCAGTTTGGGGAACTTATTGTCGGCAGAAATATCCTGTCGGCTATTCCCTAAAACACACATGCATGAAGACACGTAGAAAGCGCGATTTCCTTTTGCATAACCAGTGGCGAAATGTGGCTGGTGAGGAGTCTGTCAATGACCAGGACGCTCTCTCAGCCCTTCCTGTGCTGAGCATGCTCCCAGCTTCACCAATTCATTAAGCACTTGACAAAATTTCATTGTGCACTCACGCGTCAGTCTACCCCATTCAAGCTTTTCTCTGCGGGTGGGGGAGTCAGGTTTTCCCCCTTTCCCACTTAGCACAAGTTACCAGCTCTTAGGAGGTGCCTCACATGTTTGAATCAATGAAGATTATTATGCAGCCATGCACACAGCTGCATAATAATTAACATTCAAGAGACGGACTCTGTCCCTGAAGTTTTTCTGTCTAGGACCAGGCAGTGAGCCGGTCGGATGGGTGAGAAAACGCAAATCTATGTGAATCCAGAGGCACCGGGTAATGCTGTGCTGTTCTGTGCTGTGCCGTGCTGCTGTGCCGTGCTGCTGTGCCATGCTGCTGTGCCGTGCTGTTCCACAGCCGGCCCTTTCTGGCTCCCAGGACTTCCAACTGGAGGAGAGGTAGTTTCAGCACAGAATGAAGACGTTTGGGAGCTGTTCTTTTTTCTAGCAGCCTACATTCTAGGGTGATTCAGAATCTGCCTAGTCATGGGTTGTGATGAGACGGTTGATAGACAGGCTTAATGGCTGTTTAGGGTAATTTCCTCAAAATGTCTGCTTCCTAGGGAAGGGACAGGTTAAGATTTATGACCAAAGGTAAAATTAGAGTAATTTTTTTAAAGAACTGTTATATGCATGTGAGAAGGGGAAAAGAGCAGTTTAAACCCTCTCCAATGCAGGTAAAAGGCAAAATGTGAGAAAAAAAAAACCTGAGGGAATTCAGAGTTAGTGAGAACACAGAGTTCTGAGTGGAGGAGAAAAGGTGACTCAGCAAAACCAAAGAAACATCTGGCAGGGTTAGTCATGGAGAAATTGCCAGCTGTGACTGTGGATTTTGTGAAAATAATTATGTACTATCCAACAGTTTATGTTTCAACCAAAATTAGTTGAAAACCTGTGTACTAAGAATCTGCTTCCCTGCCTGGCCACTCACCCGGCCAGTTATTACACAGCACAGAGATTTTGAAAAGCACTATTTTCTTTTTAATTATTCAGTTAGTTAGTTTTGAGACAAGTTCTCATTAGATAGCCCTGGCCTGTCTGGAACCAGGATAGACCAGACTGACCTCCAACTCACAGAGATCTACCCACCTTTGCCTCCTGAGTGCTGGGATTTAAGACACCTGGCTAAGAAAAACAAACAAAAAACAAACAAACAAAAAAACACAAAAACCACAATTTTAGAGAAAAATCTTCAGTCTAAGTATTATTTTTTTTTTAATTTCAAACTCAAGGTTTAGTAGATTGCCTAATAAACACGCTTTCATGGTGATCAATAGTTAACATTTTATTGTGCACATGCAATGGTGATAAATTAATATGGATCACAGCTGTGATCTTAGTAACAAAACCCGCTGAGAAGAAACCTTTAGCCCGTACTTTTATTGATACAACACCATATGGCTTAAAGTTTTATAGGCTCGTCCTTTCTGCAAGAACGCTTCAGTCCTTCATTTCTGAGACTTCTGAAATCATTCAACAGATCTCAAATGCCGAGCTGCTGCTGAATGCGGTGCTAGAATGTCTGGAATGAAACAAGAAGTCCCTCTTCTGTGAAATAGATCAACTTTCTACTTGGGTCAAGATTTTAATGGTATGAATGCTTTTCTGTCAGCAGATGGGCAAAAGAGAAAACACTTTCAATAGTGTTGTTTATTGATAACATAATTTCTCTTATTTCCTCCCAAGCAAAAAAGATTTAAATAACCTGTCACAGTCAGTCCTTCTAACAGGCATTTTAAAAAGATTTGCATTATTTCTTCAGTGTGTGGGTGCTCACGTGCGCATGCGTGAATTCAGGTGCCTGTGGAGGCCAGGAAGACGGAGCTGGGTATCCTGGAGACGGTGTTGCAGATGGTTGGAAGCCCAGCTCAGGTCTTCTGCAAGAACAATACATCCTCTTCACCACTGAATCATCTTCCCGGCTCCAGACAGGTACCCCTGACTTGGAAAATTACTACGGGTTTGAAAATTCCTTGAGTGAGTGAAACGAATGAATGAAATAACCAGCTCGGAAGCGCGTGTGCAGGATGTCTTAACCTTATTTGTATATTTCCTTGGTGACATTTCCTAATAGCCTAGCTCCCTGGTGTTCTACGTTTTGAAGTCTATCCAGTCACTTTTGCCTTTGATGCTGCTGCCTCATCTTATCCTGAGTCAAGAGTTCAAGAGAAACCCTCAAGGCAGAGAGTAACTCTCTAATAAGTGAATATATATATAGAGAAAGACATATATATATGTATATATATATGTATACCATTTGTAACATTCAGTTGGTCATAATTATCATTTTAAGTAATTATCATTTAACTTAGCATATTGTAACAGCACACAGAATGGCTGTTATTCTCTACCATTTAGGGAAATAACAGGAAGCTATAGTTAGTATGTATGTACTTCCTCACAAATTCCTAGGTAGAAATTCTAATCCTCTATGTTATGATTAAGAAGTGGGACCATTGATAGGTAAACAAGTCAGGGGTGGAGCGCTCATGAATGGGATCAGTGCCCTATTAAAGGATTCTATAGCGCTCTCCCTTCCTTTCTTCCACGTAAAGACACAAGGAAAAGATGGGCCATGAGTAAACCAGGAAACTGAATCAGGAAGCCAGTCTTTGCTAGGCACCAAATTTATCAGAATCCTGATTTTGAGTTTATGAATATACAGGACCACAGGACATAAATTCTGTTGTAAAGTCATTCAGAATATAGTACTGTTGTTAGTGAGTCAGCGCCGTCTAAAAAGATGCAGGCCATATGCTACGGAGGGTGTGCGTGGTAGCTTGGCTGTGAACAGTTTCTCAGAATTTGCTAAGCTTTATTATTCAACAGACCATGTGGCAAGCCTTAAGCTTGGACCTATGTTTTAAGAAAAGCATTTATTCACTTCCTACCACTAAGGATTAATCAAGATCCTGGTTTACATAACTTAACAAATATTTATTGAGAGATTACCACAGATGGGACAATATACCAGGAACTATGTTCTCGTCTGTTTTGGAAAATAGCCTATATGTTAGTCAGGGAGAAAAGGCGAATACAGAACCCTTACAAGGAAAGAGCAGAGCTGAGGTCTGCGCTACATCGCGGTGTCTCACTAGTAGACTGAGAGCATGCTGGGAGACTGCTTTAGCTTTGGTAACACACAGGCTTCCCGGCACACAGCAGGCTCCCATGTCCTTAAAGCATTGTTCACATCATAAAAGCTGCTCAGGACCCTCTGGAGAACTCTTTTCTACCCAGGTCATCAGAGAAAGTTCTTCGAAAGAAAGCAGAGTTTGGGCTATATCTTCATCCACTTGGGCTACTCTGACAGAAGACTGTAGTGCTCACTTGGTAGTCTATACACAAGAAGGAGAGGAGGAACAGGAGGGACAAGGGAGTGGGGGGAGGGAACAGGATGGACGGAAGGAGGAGGGGGAAACACCCTCAGACTGCATAATTTACAACAACAGAAATTCCAGTGACAGAGGCTCGGAAGACCAGCCTTGAAGATGAAAGTGCCAGCCCATTCAGGGTTTTTCAAAGGCTTATTCTGGGCTTCACAGATGGCGACTTGTGTCCTCACAGAGCAGGGGAGGACAAATAAACCTCCGCCCCCTCCCCTCCCTTTTCATAAGGGCATTGGTTCTTTATATAACTCACGAGGACGAGACCTTTTGACTTAATCACATCCAGAAAACCCCTCCCACCTCCCATCGAGACTGTTGTACCCTGCATGAGGTTCCAATCCCTGAATTTTCATCAACATTCAGATCATGGTTAGCTGGAGAGCAGAGGAAGAGCAGCCGGGGGACAGAGGACCGAGATCTGTGGGCAGAGGGGTGTGCGTCAGGGTTTGGAATACAGGAATCCTATAGATGCGACAAGTGTCTCCACATTAAAGCCCCAGTGCAAAGAGCCTGGTGTCACCAGGCTATCCCAGAGGTTATAAAGGGTCAGCAGAAGTGAGAATTGGAGAATTGAGTTGTGGTCTCATAAAAACAAACAAACAAACAAACAAACAAACAAACAGAACAGAGTCTCCAGCCTACACAGTGGCAGGACATCAGCCGAAAGGACAGCTCTAAGCAACCATGAAAGAAGGAGTGGTGGGAGTCTAGTGATTGCCGTGAGTGGGACAGGAAGAGCGAGGGGCAGGTCTGGGGACATAGGAAGGCATCACCACAGGCAAGACCACACAAAGGTGGGCAGCTTAGATGAACTTAGAGATGCTGAAGCCGAGGGGCCCTCTGGGACTGCTAGCATAGAGTAGAAAGTGGGCCATAGCTTAGAGGGTGAGTGAAGCTGGAGGGAGAAATGGGAAGCCATGCTGGACAAAGTCTCCTAGAAGCATCCACAGTGTTAGCAACCCTGAAACAACTAACAGGGGCTGCTCAATCGGATGTAAAGAAGCATGTTACAGTTTATGAGCCCAGGAAGTTCTTAGAACTGATGAAACTAAGGACTGGAGAGATGGCTCAGTGGTTAAAAGCACTGCCTGCTCGTCCAAAGGTCCTGAGTTCAATTCCCAGCAACCACATGGTGGCTCGAAACCATCTGTAATGGGATCTTGTGTCTTCTTCTAGTCTGCAAGGCAAGCAGGGAGGCAAAACACTATATACTTGATAAATAAATAAATCTTTTTTTTTAGGTATCAATAACAATAACTTTATTTTCTAACAGGTAATTTTCCTATTGCTTCGACATTTTCCTCTCAGAAAACACAAGTTTTAGAACTGGATCACTTGGCCCTTTCTCTTCTTGTCTCCTCCCAGATCAAAATGCTTGCATTTCTTAATGGCCAGCATCCTCTTGGACCTGCAGTTGGGCTCCACACACTCAAGCCTGAGCACGATCTTCTTTGTGGTTTTGACCTTCTTCCGGAAAATTGGCTTTGTCTGCCCACCATAACCACTCTGCTTCCGATCGCAGCGCTGCTTCCCTTGGGCGTACAGGGAATCTTTGCCCTTCTTATACTGGGTCACTTTGTGAGGCTAATGCTCACCACATTTCTTACAGAAAGTCCTTCGGGTTTTGGGTACGTTGACCATCTTTGCAGTAGAGCGTCTACCCGATGGAAACGAGAGAGCCGGCGTCCGAAAGAGCCATCTCCACCGCGGGAGTCGGACGCCTAAATAAATATTAAAGAAGAAGAAGAAGAAGAAGAAGAAGAAGAAGAAGAAGAAGAAGAAGAAGAAGAAGA